TGAACTTGAAAGAATGGTAATAGATTCTAGAACTAAACTTCTCGAAACAAATACTAAGATAGAGCGATTAGAAGGAAAACACAAGGAAAAGAAGTCTAAAGAAAAGGCGCAAAAGCCTCACAATAAATCAACAACGTGGGTTGAATGCGATGCTCATAGTGAAGATAATGACAAAATTAGATCCATGAATTGTGGAAAGAGTCACCATAGTAAAGAATGCAAGAAAAACATGAGGTGTAGTAAATGTACTAGAAGAGGACATACTAAACAAGAATGCTATTCAAGAATTCTATGCTATTGTTACCATAAACAAGGACACATTAGGAGGAATTGGGAAAAAATTCAAAACTACCACTGTTTAAAAAAAATTGCAAAAATACCACTCATTCCCAACAATTTCCAAAAATACCATCGTTTATAAAAAACCGTGCCTCTAATGGGCGGTTAACATAGAAACCGTGCCTCCTGGAAGCGGTTTACATTATAACCGCCTCGCCAACAAAGCGTCTTTAAATTCTAGCTAAAACCACTCCTGGAAGGCGCGGTTTATATATTAACCCTACCACAAAACGCTTCAAGAGGAAGCGTTTAAATGTCGGCATGATAAACCGCCCCACCACGAAAATTGAAGTAGTGTGTCTCCTTTCGCCATCTCTCTACCAATGCTGTGATGAATTGGCGGTCGATCTTGATTCCATTAAAATGCGTAATCGTATCCAATCTTGCCCTTTTTAGAAAGGGCAAGATGATGTCGTTCCATTCAAGCACATTCGTCGTGCCCCTATAGCGGACTATATGGTATGCATCCTAGAGAAGAATTTAAATTTCACTATAAGTTGATGATTTATACATATATAAATATATTATAAGATGCAATATTAATTAAATCAAGGTTGTTTTATAGAAATATACATTATCAAATAAACATTAATTTTAACATAACTAAATAATATTATAAGATGCAATATTAATTAAATCAAGGTTGTTTTAGAGAAATATACATTATCTAATAAATATTAATTTTAACATAACTAAAATAATTTTCTAAGATGCAATATTAATTAAATCAAGGTTGTTTTAGAGAAATATACATTATCTAACAAACATTAATTTTAACATAACTAAAATAATTTTCGAAATTTAATTATAATTATTTTTTGTACACGTACACATAAATCAAATAAATTATTTTGTTAATCGTATTGATTATTTTCAATAATTTAAAGCAATACAAGTACACTCGTAAGACTCTTAGGAGAGGTATACATCTCCTTAGAAACACAGTCTTTTTGACAGAAAAAGTGGGGATCCGAGGATCGCTTAGAACCCGATTTTCCCAGGTCATGTGGGGATCATGATGATCGCTTAAGTCCCCATTTCCTTAGACATGCATTTCTTTATAAAGAGTCAAATAAGTGTTGTATTGTATTGATTTAAATTATAGAAAATAATCAATATGATTAATAATTAAGTAAATTATTGTACAAACAAATAAATTACTTTAACAAAATACAAATTACAAGTGATGATAAATAATATTTACCTTGTGGTCGTCCCAAACGTCTCTTGAACGATGATTAGCTTGATCGTATAAAACAGTCGGATCAATCGGTCCTTGATCAACATAATATCGTTGACTGTAAATATCAACATCCGGCCCAACCTACGATAGCATAACAACAACATAAATCAATTAGTATATAAATTAAATAAATCATTATAACAACAACAATTAGGTAAAATGAGTACGTACGGTTTGATAATCATCATAGAAAATGCCCTCTTCTTGGATGAAATCGGCCATTTTTTCCGAATCCGAATAGAGATTCGACGGTTTTTTAGTGAAAACCAAAAAAAGTTTTTTGAAGGCAGATCGGACTTAGCCGCAACCAACAAAATAACTAATTCTAAGGTTTTTGGGTGGGGAGGGGGGTGGGTAGAGTGAGGAGTTAGAGGGAGAGAGGGGGGAATGAGTTTGGTGTGCAGAAAATGGGAGGTGGAAGGGAGGTTTATATAGGGACGAAACCGCGTTAGGGAGGGGCGGTTTCGTCCTTTTAGCCCGCCTAAAACCGCGCCTCAAGCGCGCGTTTAGCTTTCCGCAACAGTCAAACCGCTCTTCGGGGGAGCGGTTTAACTGAGCGACGCGGATCGCTGAGTTGGCGCGCGGTTTGGCCGTCAGATCGCTCCCCCATCGCGCGGTCTGATGCACCGCCACGTGGCCACACGGTTTGACAGCCAGGAAGAGTCAAACCGCGCGTTCCACAGGCGGTTTGACCCTTAACCGCGCCTTGGACGAGCGTTTTGGTTTATAACCGCGCCTTCGAGGTGCGTTTTGTGTGAAAGGGTGGTATTTTTGAAAATTGTTGGGAATGTGTGGTATTTTTGTAAATTTTTTTTATAGTGGTAGTTTTGGATTTTTTTCTGAGGAATTGCTACTACAATAACTATTATGACTCATATCAATCGTATCCCAAGAAAAATGTACCCTAGCAAGTTTGTGAGAAAATTACGTACTCCTATTGCATAGGATGAGTTGGGTTGATTACCCTTGAAGGGTTGGAAAAATGATTCTTTTTCTTAACTTAAATTATTTTGGATATTAAATTTGTTATGCATTATTACTCTTTGACAATAAAAAAAAACCCATATTAATTACATCACTTTTTTCAAAATTAAATATACATTAATTAAATTTCTCTCTTCCTATATATTACTCTTTCCTTTTCCAACCGTTTTCTGTCCTTCTACCGGTATACTCCTTCCGGTCTTACTCCACCCGACAGATTCCTTCCGACCAGATCTCTCAGGCAGACTCCCTCCGACCACCTAAAAAAAGTATCACTACATTAAAAAAAATACCATTGCACCGATAACTTTACTATACACTAATACCATTGCTCTGATAATGTTACCAATACACTGATAATGTTACCAGTACACTGATACACAACTACCATTGCATTGAAACAACTATCAGTGCACTGATAACGTTAACAGTGTACTGATAACATTACCACAGGAATAAAACGTGTCAGCCGCCAATGGGGGGAGGAGCGATAGTAGGAAGAGTTGTAGAGATGTGGCATGAAGAGTTATTGGGAAGGAGATCGAGGTTCATGGCAGACTGCGACAGTGGGGAGAGTGAGGAGAGAGAAATGTAAATTAGTGTATGTCTAGTTTTGAAAAAAAAGAATGTATATGTGAATGAATTATTAATTGTAACCATGTTTATTAAATAAAAGGGTAACTATATTTGTATGGCCTGAACTTTGATCAAAATAAACATCCTACCCAATCTTTTCAATCTATAACATTCTGGCCCAATATCCTGCACCGACGGTGGAGGAGAAGACGATTCGGAAGAAGGAGGGTTCGAGCTTGCTTTTGGAGGAAGAAGAGGAACTGGAGTTTCCAATTGGCCGGAGGGAGGGGAGAATGGCGGCGGATGGTTGCCGGAATCAGGGGTAGGAGGGCTGGGCTGGATGTTTATTAAAAGCATTTTTCTATTTTTTGTTCAAAATGAAAAAAGAAAATGATAATAGGTGGAAATAAAAGAAATTAATTGAAATTTGCTGAGTTGACAGTTACATGGCGCGTCGACCGTTAGTCAACGCGTTTGATCGTCCAAGTTAACGTTCAAACGTCGGGTTTGGCCAATTTAGTTATTTTGATGTATAGTTTGGGCAAGGATGTTATAGATCAAAAAAATTGATCAGGATGTTTATTTTGGTCAAAGTTCAGCCCATACAAATATATTAACACGAAATAAAAATTATTTAATTATTTATGTATTTATATATTAAGAAAAAGAGAACACGTTTCAAATGACTCCGCCATAATATTTGTCTGGACACTCTCAAGTCTCAACACATCTGACCTACAATAGTACAATTATTGGAAAGAAAACAAAATAGTGCTAGGTAGTATGACCCTTTGTACGAAACGAGAAGACAGCTAACCTCTGTTTCTTACCTCCACGCAAATGCATGTGTATGTAGTCAAGGCTTCACCAAACTTTGTTTAATGCACCATTGATTTGTCTGTTCAAACTTCCAATCCATTTATTTGATGGTTCACTTTCATGCTCTTAATTAGGGGTGAAAATTGGGGTGGGTGCGGGTTACCCGCCCCACCCACAAATATAGAATTATGCTACCCACAATCCATCCTGCAGTGGGTAGTGGTTAACTACTATTAAATAGTGATGCTGTATTTCTTCTCACACCAAAACAAAAACATACATTTAAGAAAGTTAATAAAGTGTAAAATGAATTATAAATTTCAAATACAATAGGTTAGTTAGTGTAAATTGAGAAGTGATGGATTTGGAAAGAGTTTTGAAATGACGGAGAAGCAGAGTGATACGTTACCAGACTAACATCGTTGCATGTCACGACTCCTCCGGTGGCAACAACAGCAAAACACAATAGTGGCACGATAAGTGGAGGCGCCCGCTTTTAATGAATCGATTATTCTCCACTCTCGATTATAGTCTTGTGTTGTTGGTAGTTGGTTGCATGTTGTGTTGTTCGTGAATTCGTGGAGAAATGAACTTGATTTTGTTATAAAAATAAACATATAACACAGGGACAATACTTATTTAGTAAAAGTATCTCACATGAACATTGTGTATTGACTTGGTTTTGTTTTCTAGAATAAGTGCATATTTGATTTTGGTAACTACTTTAATTCTTAGTCTTCCAAGTTTCACAAACTAATATAACTAATGTGGTTAATGTAGGTTACAAAGTATTTTGAAGAAATAAATATAACAAATGTGGTTAATGTGAGTTTTGTGGGTAAACCGTTGTGAGTAGTGGTTAACTACTAAGCACAAAAATCAACATTTTACTACCCACACCAAACCCACTATCCACAAATTTATAGGTATTAGTATCCACAAAGTATGCGGTTTGGTGCGGTTTGTGGGTTACCCGCAAACCAAACTTCGACCCCTACTCTTAATGCCAATAATGGAGGTTGTATATTTTCCGACTGATCATTCAATATTAGCCTGCATTATTTGTTGTTCGTGTACCAAGCTTGGCCCCCGCACCTCTGTAATTTTTGTGTATGTTCATTTATATCATGTTTTTTCACTTACAACCACTTGAGCCATTCTACATTTCTACTTTTACCGCCTCAACTTCATTTCACGGTACATCAGTTAGTCCTATATAGACTGTAGATGGAGAATCAAAAGTTTAGTGCATATAGTAATAAACCCAACATACTAAGCTAGAAATAGTAATGGCTTCTTCAGATTCATTACTCATCATCGTGTTCTTCTACTTGCTGAAGCTTATTGTAACCACTGGTCCTCTGTTCTTCTGCGAAGCCGTGGCAATAACTATGGCGCCGCCACCACCTGAAAACGGAACAGTTGGTAGAGGAAGAACTTCTTCAGCTGTCTTCGTATTTGGGGACTCGATTCTTGATACCGGCAACAACGATCATATCGCAACTTTGATCAAGTCCAACTTCCCTCCCTATGGAAGGGATTTTCCAGGAAGAATTCCCACCGGTAGATTCTCCGATGGAAGGCTCATTTCGGACTTCATAGGTACTTATAATTTATTTTTTGTATTCTAGATGTACGTGGTTCTGCCTTCCCAATATGCCGGACCGTATTGCCACCCCAACAGTGTTAGTTAGTGTATATCATCTTATGTGAATATAGTATGATATAAATTATTGGCGGAACCAGAAATTTTCCATGGGGTGTCCTCTTTTAAAAATAAATTTTATAAAAATAATTAATAATTGATAAAAATAAAATCGTAAATTTGAAAATACCTTACTTGTACAGGTTAAAAAAGTCCATGATTTGTTTTCATATTGGGAAATAATTTTCGAAGACACTTGGTGTCTATAGTGTTAAAAAAATTGTCTCTATATACCCTACTAGACAATCATTCACGAACTTATCGCATATTCGATTTGTAAACTTGTTCTCGATGTAACCCAAAGCTGAAAGACTCTTTCACCGCTTGCCGTATTAAGGTTAGCTTGAAATTAGTTTAATTGTTAGGTTTTTAAAATTATTAGAGATAGGAAATGACATTTTACTTTTACATTTTTCAAAATCGAACAACAAATGAGTTGTAGGTCAACGAAAATTAAGTTTATTAATAAGAACAGTGTTCTAGATTTGAATTACCCAATCTACCACTTATATTCCTATACACAAATGACAGTAGGATAATCATGTTTTCAAATTTCAGGGGTGTCCCTCATTATCAATTATATTTTTTTTTTTGTCCATACATAAATTACCACCGAGAGTAGGATAATCATATTCCCAAAATTTATGGGTGTCCGGGGACACTCCTAAAACCTCCTGGATCCGCCGAGGTATAAATCAACTAGAAGAAGTAAGTATAAAAGTATTTGCCTCAAGGAAGAAGTCTAAAATTTCCTAGGTTTTTTGGGTTTGGAAAAGAGTTTAATTATAAAAAAATGAATCTTATGATATATTGGAAATCTCTTATGATAAGCATTCATGTCTTAAATTTACCTTAATGCCAAGTAATTGTAGTAAGTGTGTTTGTGCAGTTGAAAGTTTGAAAATCAAGTATCTTTTACCGCCTTATCTCGATTCGAATCTCCGAGCTGAGGATCTCATAACGGGAGTGTGTTTTGCTTCTGCTGGCTCTGGTTATGACCCCAAAACACCAAAGATATTAGTAATCACCTTCCTGACTTCATGTTAACACTATGATTTTTGCGGTAATACCGTATATGTATGTTATTCTAACCATGACTTGTTTGAAATATGTATATCAGTCGGTCATATCAATTCCAGACCAACTCAATTTCTTCCAACAGTACGTAGGGAAGATGAGAAGCCTAGTGGGGGAGCAGAGATCAAACGACGTCGTTGAAAACAGCCTCTATGTAATATCATGTGGCAACAACGACGTCTTACTGACCACTTTGTTTCATACCAGAACAAAGTCGTCGGAAATGGTTTCATACGCTGCCTTTCTCGCCGGCCAAGCTTCCGCCTTTCTCAGGGAACTGTACGGACAGGGAGCTCGAAAGATAGTTCACCTGAGTGCATTAACGACGGGATGTATTCCTGCCTTCAGAACTTTGCTCGGCGGAGTACAGAGGCAATGTTCCGACGAGTCCAACGAGCTGGCCGTGATGTTCAACGAGAAGCTCAGCGACGAAATTCAGCGACTAAACGATGACGTTTTGCTTCCTGACTTGACCGTCCAGTTTGTTGACATGTACACGCCTTTTTTCGATATCATTAGGCGTCCTGAAAACTATGGTAATTAAGTTAGTTAAGTTAATTTCTGCTTAATCACGTTCGTTAGGATGCATGGTTTAAGAAAGTTTATAATATTGCAGGGTTTGTTGTGACGAAGGAGGGGTGCTGTGGGACAGGAACGATAGAGTTTGGATTTCTTTGCAATCGATGGAGCCCTTCTACTTGTGCCGACAATTCAAAGTACATTTTTTGGGATAGTCTTCATCCCACAGAAAAAGTCTATAAAATCTTGACTTCTGTAATAATGAAAGACATAAATAAGCTATTATATTGAAATCTTATGTCACATACTCAATGGTTTGTTTGATTTCTTATTCGTTAATTACGAAGTTCTAGACAAATTTTAAATTTTCCAGTGGTTTGAACTTTGAAGTTTGATGGTGTCTTTGTTTCTAGTGTTTTATGTTAAATAAAGGAGACAAAAGCCTACCTGCAATGTTTGATAATTAATATGAAATGAAGTCATTGTATATATTTTTTTTGCATAGCAAGGAGGCCGAAGCCAGAGAAACAGACAACAAGGTACAGGGGAGGAGAATCAAGAAATGGAAGAAGGGGAGTTCGCCACAACCCGGCGTTCAAAAGTAACCCCCATCAAATCGTCCATAATAAGAGGAACCACTCCCAGAGGCGGGTCAACCAGCTCATGCATCCCATAGGGATAGACGAGACTGTGCTTCGAGAGCCAGTCCGCGACTCTATTCCCTTCACGGTATGTATGAGACAGGTTGACCAGCCAGTCCTGACTGAGCTTCCTACGGACGAGACCCAACAGAGTAGCATAAGGGTGAATGGGATCCTGCCGATCCTGAATAAGCTGAATCGCTAACTGAGAGTCCGAAGCGAGCTTCACCACTCGGAACCCAAGCTTCCAAGCCAGCTCTAACCCATGAAAAATAGCCCAAAGCTCCGCCAAAGCTGCCGTTGCTGTTCCGATGTTCACGACAAAACCACCAAGCCAGTTCCCCATCGCATCTCTGATCACACCCCCCGCGCCGGCCGGCCCAGGGTTGCCATTCGAAGCCCCGTCTGTATTCACCATCACCCACCCCTGGCTAGGAGGAGTCCACCCAATGTCCGCCACCACGCGCTCTGCCCTTCTGTTCCTGTGGCTGGACAGCAAGTCTGGCGCATGGGGAGAGGAGACATATGTATTCTGAGTATTAAATCAAGTGAAACGGTGAAGAAGTTGTCTTGTCTCTATCACACCACATCAAGAAGATACTTGCTCAATTACATAATGAAAATTGTTGTGAGTTCAAAGATCCCAATGAATCCAAGTATGTGACTTATGGTTAATACTAATCAACCAGTTAAACATTTGCAATATTCCAAGTTAATTAGGTGCTTCATAGTATGCAGTGACTTGCATATATAAGACCATATACCATATATGCGGTAGGAAAATTAAATCGATGTACGAGTGATCCTAGTACGCATCATTGACATGAAATAAGGTGTGTACTAGGATATCTCAAAAGGCACAGTGCATTATTGATTATCTTTTTTCTAGTGCCACTACTAAGGCAAGTGTACATGTATAGAAGCAATACAATGGCATGCAATGTCGTATCCCATAGAAACTATAAACTATACTAGTACTTAACTATATTTTTCAAATATCGAACTGATTCTTTAGCAATTGATTTAAGTGAGATAGTGGGCTTTGGATATTTTTTTTTATTTAATAACTGTGGGCTTTGGTTTGGGTTCATTTGGGTTGTTGTGGGCAATATTTCGGAAACTTCGGTTGGAATTCGAAACCTCAGTTCGGTTGGAAGAACCCTAATTGCCGAATTATTCACATTTTCTTTCCGAATTTCGAACCGAAATAACAGTAATTCGATTTCGGCTCTGTTTAATTCGAATCCATACCGGTTCAGTTCACATTTACCGAACCGGATGTCCACCCATACCTTGGACCCATGTTATAGATAGATTATCATGGATAAGTGAATTACGTATCCATAATGGATTGTGCCGCACATTTCTTCCTAGATGATGCAGTCAAAATTGGGATTTTGATCGTAAAATCGTAGGATTTTACGATTTTACTTAGAGATTCCGATCCTGATTTTACTATAAAATCGCTGGACCTTAAAATCGTTCAAATCGGGATTAAAATCGTACCAAAATCGGGATTTTGATCCCATGTGAACAAAATAGGCATTTGAGCCAATTCAAAAGAAGCAGAACTGTTTCGGTGTATAGGGCAATGACAGGGATCTTCTCAAAGAATTAACATCATTATTAACAAATTAATTGATTAATGAATATATTTATACCAAACCAATGACATTAAAGTTCTTATTGGAGTTCACTTATTCTTAATTTTAAATCATGCTTAGTAGACGATGTTGGAATACTACTTTGAGTTAAACTACCTAGACACAACATGAAAAACAAGAGCCAAATCCCATGAGCTCTATCCCTTCCTTATAAATTATTTTGAGTTACGCATTAAATAACATTTAAAATGACGATTTTCTGGAAAATTATCAATTGAAATGTTATGTCTTTGTGTTATTAATGATTTACCTTATTAATATTATTATGTGTTTATTTTTATGTGGTACTTAAAATCCTACGATTCTACGATTCGATTTTACGATTCCGATTTTACGACAGTTTGCGATTTTAGGTAAAATTCCGATTTTGATTGCTTTAGAAATATCTTTTCCACACGTAACAGAAAACGCCGCAATACGTAATTATTGGTCATTAATATTTAACAAGCTTCCAACAGTGGCTAATGATGAGTTGGACCCATGTGCTTAGATTGGAAGAATCCCAAGACGATTCCTTTTCTTTTCATAGACAGTGGCAGCGGTATAGTAGGCAGAGCCACCGCCTAATACACTGCTTTTCAATAGTACGTACGTACATCAGTTAGCTCGATATATATAAATACGTAGATGGAGAATCAAAAGTTAAGTGCATTGTGGTATACGTACCCAACATACTAAGCTAGAAATAGTAATGGCTTCTTCAGAATCATTATTAGTCATCATCGTATTCCTCTTCTTTTTTATAATGGTGAAAGAATATATTAAGATAATGAAAAAGAGTTGCATAGACCCGACAGAGAAAGTGCAGCTCGAGTTAGGCATCCAAATGACCCTGCAAGGACAAAGCAAAGCACACCACAAGCCACCATCGATCCAACAGATCAGCAGCAGCCGAAATCAAAGAATGCGAGTCCTGTCCTGCAAACGCCTGGCTCCAACCTCTTTATCTATCCTGCCATACGCCGTTGCCCAATCCAACAAGTTCGATAGAGCTTAGCTGCAACAACCTGAACAAACCGACCTGCAACAACTCCAAGTCCGGCCTCGCCGCCACAGATCAACCGATCAATAAGCTCTCGTGCAGCCAATTCAGTTCCTGAGTTTTATCAATGTGACCATGGGACACCAGCCATTCCATCGCGTTCCTCGCTGCTCTTCTAGCCACCCCGATGGCAGTCGACTTCTTCTCTTCAAACACCCGTTGATTCCTTTCCAATCACACAAACCACCAAACCGCATGTAGGATACAGTATGTAAACCAATCCCCGACGTTTCCCGACTTGGAATGAGGGTTGTGCTTGATTATTAGTTTCACCTCCCTGTCTTGGTAGGACAACACCGATCTAACCCTATTGATAATTCTCCATACCTCCTTCACAAACTCACACTCCACCAGTAAGTGATTAATGGATTCTTCATTTTTACAACAGAGACAACATTTGTTTGCCATCGACCACCCTCTCCTCTTCAAGTTGTCAACTGTGAGTATCTTGTTATGAAAAACCATCAACATAAAAAAGCACACTTTACTAGGGATCAGCTTCTTCCAGATTTGTTTTAACGGAAAATCATTCACTCCTGGCAGCGTTTCCTGCACAAGCTTCCTGTAAAACGAGCTCACCGAGAACTTATTGTTTGGATCAGGATTCCAAACTATTCTGCACGGACTAAGAGCATTATTGTTCATGGGAATATTATTAAGAAAGTTCAACAATTCTACCCTTTCCCTTTCAGCACACCCCCTCAAATTATATTTAAGATTGAAAGACCAACTCACCAACTCACCATTGAGGGATGCTACATCGGAGAGTCTTGCTTTGGAGTCGACAGCGGCAGCAGCAACGCGGGGGAATGGAGAAGACAGCACCATCCCCTGGTTCCAAACGTCGTGCCAAAAGGAGATCACAGTTCCATTTCCCGGGTCTAGACTTGCGAACTTCCAAACTAGCTCGTGTTCTTTAGTTATGTTTGCCCACACCAATTGAGAAAAACCACTTCTAACCTTTTCCGTTTGCCAAACCGAGGAGGGATTGTGGTACTTGATATCTATAAGCTTATGCCACCAACTATCTCTCTCCGTTGCGAACCGCCACAGCCACTTGGACAACATTGCATCATTGAAAGCTTTCAAGTCATGAATCCCCAGCCCACCCTTGCTTTTCTCGATTTTGCAGAGTTTCCAATCCACGAGGGCCCTCTTATGGATGTCGCGCCCACCATTCCATAAGAACCTCCTCTGGGTTCTTTCCAGATCCTGGATAACCAAAACAGGAGCCTTAAATAGGGAAAACATGTACGTCGGCATGCTCTCTAGAACCGCAGTGCACAAGACTAGCCTAGCTCCGTAAGATAGATGTCTGCTCCCCCAGCCGTTAAGTTTATTCTTCATTTTGTCGATCATGGGGGTCCCAAATTGACGGATCGTTTAGTTTGGCTCCAAGAGGGAAGCCGAGGTACTTCGCCGGATCACGGCTCCATTTGCACCCAAAATAGTAGCGTAGAAACTAGGATCAGCCACATCGCCGGCAGTATACATCACTGACTTGTCAAGATTTACCCTTAAACCGGTCACGGACTGCAAACACACAATAGTAGCCAGAATATTCAGAACCTGACTGTGATTGGCGTCGTAAAATATCACTGTGTCGTCAGCGAACATCAGGTGGGCAGCTTCGCCGTTTTTGGAGTCTTCGTTCATATAAAATCCTTCGAATTTACCAGCTTCCCTAACTGCTTTCAGCATCATTGACAAGACATCCATAACTAGAGCGAACAAGCCCGGTGAGAGGGGATCACCCTGACGAAGACCTTTAGAAGCTCTCAAATACCCTTTAGCCTCGCCGTTAACCAAAACAGAAATCATAGAGGAGCAAATGGATCGCTTTACCCAACTCTTCCATTTCTCCGAAAAACCCAGACCTGAAAGAATCTTGAATAAACAGTCCCAGTTCACGTTGTCGAAGGCCTTCTCAATATCAAGCTTAAACATGAGGCCAGCCTTCCTACTCTTCGTTCTGCTATCAACCAGCTCATTAGCGATAAGACCAGCCTCCGTAATCTGCTTCCCCTTGACTGATGAAAGTACGTTGCTCTTGAGAGATAAGATTCGACAGCACTAAGCTGAGTCTATTCGAGAGAACCTTGCTGATCAACTTATTAATGCTCCCGATCAAATTTATAGGCCTTAGGTCTTTTATATCCTCGATGGTATCTTTCTTAGGAGCTAAACAAACGAGGGAATGTGTGACGCACTCAGGCAGGTATCCAGATACGTAAAAGTCTTGAAACGCCTTCAGAACATCTCCTTTTAACCATTGCCAACATTTCTTAAAGAACTCCACGTAAAACCGTCTGGACCAGGAGCTTTACTTCCATCAATATCGCGTAATCCCAACCAAATTTCATGTTCAGTGAACGGTCTATCGAGCATACACCTCTCTGTATTGACAGGAACTGGATCGCAATCTGATTTGGAAACAAACGATTGGTAATGCTTTCTTGAAATAGATTTTGATAGAAGCTAACCATACCTTCCCCAATCTCTTCCTTCTTGTCCAACATCCGCCCACTGATACTGATTATATCAATTAAATTAACCCTTCCCTTATAGTTGGCCATTTTATGAAAGTATCCACTGTCTTTCACCCAACTTAATCCACACTTCCCTGGATTTTTGGCGCCAACAGATTTCTTGGAGTAATAGACTCCTACTGAGTTAGTACCAACCTGGTTCTTCTCTCTTTCTCATCGGATGATAGAATGCGCTCTTCTTCACTAGCATCAATTCCCATAATCTCAGCACCCAACTCTTCCACTCTCTTATCGATATGCCCAAATACTTCTTTATTCCAGACCTTGACTTTGGTTTTAATAAACAACAACCTCCTAGCGAGAAGAAAGACATCTCCCGACCCCTGCATTCTTTCGGCCATCCAATTACTCAATTCCAGGAAGAAACGAGGATCTTCTAACCACATATTTTGAAATCGCCAGGGCTTCTTGATTTTCTTATCCTCACCCCATCTCAACAGGAGCAAATTATGAACAGATTCGACTCTGTTCAAAGCAGTAAGAGTGCAATCAGGGTATAAAGCATCAAAGTCGTGTGAAATCAACACTCTATCAATTCTAGACATGGAATCTCTATTTGCCCCGTGTCTCCAAGTGAACTTACTTCCGCAGAGAGGATGTTCGAGAAGGCTGTTGGTGTCGATGAATGCGTTGAAAGCGTTCATAATTTCAGAGCTTCTCCTCCCCCCAATATACTCTTCGTGGTTCTTAACCATGTTAAAATCCCCTGCGATACAAACTGCTCCGAAGTGCTGATTACAGAATCCGTTAAGTTGATCAAGAAAAACCAGCTTATCACTCCTGTCCTGTGGGCCGTAAACGAAGACGAAGTGTCAAGATTTGGAAGAAGATATTTCCATAAGTTCTAAAGCCAAGAAATGAGAACCCTACACACAAGACAGTTTCGAGAAGAAGGCCTTGTCCCAGAAAACAGCTATACCCCCAGAGCATCTGGCTGCGTTTTTGACCGCCCAATCAACTTCCTTCCTGTTGCATAGACTGCCAACCAAGATCTCGTTGCATTGAGACCACTTCGTTTCCAACAGACCAACAATTTTCGGCTTGTGACGACCAATCAACCTCTTGATTCTGCATCTTTTTATCCGGATCGCCGAGACCCCTCACATTCCATATGCAAATATTGGTATCCATAAAACAAATTCAAGAGACATACTCTTTCGAACTTCGAACGAGAACTCCTGATCTTTCTTTGGTGTGTTTCCTCCACCGTTTGAGAGATTTGTTGTTCCGCCCTATCTGACCCTTCTACATGACCCAGATCAAGAATTCTCCCCACCGAAATGCACGCTTGCGCCAGGCTCTCCTTATTGAACGGGAAAACGTTGGGCTCCCACTCCCGATTTGTATACACATGAAGGGGAAGGAAGTTCTATGATAAGATCGGAGATGGGATTTTGATCCATAATAGCAGCTGGCGGTGTTTTTGGAACCTCGCAAAAATCTCCTTCGGTGACCTTGGCCTCCTGGTACTGGGCTTCCACAGAGTCGATGCTTTCCGAATCCGCAAAGTCGTCGAAATCTAAAGTCTCCCTCACGGTCATTGATTGTCGAAGAGAAGAGGGTGTCTCGCTGCTTCCGACCTGAAAAGTGTTGAGGGATTCATCATCAGATAAAGTGATAGCGGGCTTCGTATTCCCTGTATAGGGCTGGCTAAATTACACGTTTGGTCACTCGAATTATACAAATCTTTCACATTTGCCACCTGAATTACTTTTCTTTCTTATTCGCCACTAACTTTACAAATCCTTTCACCGTTAATCACCGGCCGTTACACTCCGTTAAATTTGTCCTACGTGGCAGTCAACTTTAAAGTTTGACCGTTAACTAAATGACGTGGAAATTAAAAAAATTAAAAAAATAATTTATTTTTCTACCTCATCATTCCACTTCCTTTGTCTACATGATTTATCATACTATTTATTAAACGAAATTAATTAAATTATAAATATAAATTATCGGCGGGCATCTCCTCCACTACGTCGGCAGAGGGACCGGGATGGTCGCCGTCCACCGATCGACAAACTTCTCCTCCCACACGCTGATCTCCGTGTCTACGAAGGAGGACGTCGAGAACCTGATGGAGTACGACCGAGGCACGCTGAATCATCGGCTCGCCTCCAGCTCATCCTCTTCCCAAGGGGGAATCGGATAGTACGATAAACATAATGGCTGCGAAGAACTCCCTCCGCCATGTGGCCATCGCCAAAAGCTCCATCACGGCTGCCAAGAACTCCCTCCGCCTTTTCCCGTCGACGTGTAAATCGAAATTCCCCAACCCATTTCCTTCTCTTTGCAGCAGGGATTTGAACTTGTTAAACTTTGGGCTTTTAACGGCGTTGACGGAAAACAGAAGAGGAATGGGCGACCGGGAGATAGAATGGATCAAATCTCCGCCGTCTCTCACCGTCAATCGCAGCAGGGGCTTCATTGGATCGGTAGATCTTCGTAAGGTATGACTCCTCCGCTTTCAATGCTGAAGCGATCCTCTGCAACAAACAAAAAGACATAGTGAATTGGGATCCATAATACTGACCCGGAACGCCATCTCCAAACATATCACAAATATCCCAAAACCCCCATAGCAAGAACCCCAACCTAGGCTTTCATCATAGGCAGGCGACGAAAGAGGAATCGACGCTGCAGATCGGGACGGAATGGACCAGGTTTTTGGTTAAAGAGGAAGCGTGGTGGGAGGATTCTACGTCGGAATCCAAAGCCGACATCCTTTCCTCAACCAGCTTTCTTCCCGCCACCGATGCTTCAGGAGAGATCTCAAGCATCTTCCTAGACAATAGGAACCTCTGTTGCATTTGCAATTTGTTCCTCCTGATAATTAATTTTTTGTAATTTAATAATTTGTATGAAATAAGTAATATGATAAATTATATTGATAAAGTAAGTGGAATGATGAGATGGAAAAATAAATTATTATTTTTAATTATTTTTAATTTCCACGTCATCTATTTAACGGTCAAACTTTAAAGTTGACTGCCACGTAGGACAAATTTAACGGAGTGTAACGGCCGATGACTAACGGTGAAACGATTCGTAAAGTTAGTGGCGAATAAGAAAGAAAAGTAATTCGGGTGGCAAACGTGAAAGATTTGTATAATTCGAGTGACTAAACGTGTAATTTAGCCGTATAGGGCTTAACAAATTTCCATAACCCGGCCCAAAAAAGCTTCCTCGGGATTTCAGGGATGAAAAAGGTACCCCGATGGATCTCTCCCAGAACTTTATAACACAGTACTAGCTTTCTTCCCTGCCGTTGGCCGGGCCCTTTACTTTTTTATTATTAATTAATACTAATGGATTCATTTAATAGTATAAATAAATATCCCTATATATGTTTAAGTTAGGTTTATAAAATCTTTGCAATATTATGCAATAGAAGGCACTAAACAAATAGTCGCAGGTTACGAAAAAAAGACCTAGTTTAGGGTAACATTACTGATTTTGAACATGGAGGTCCAGATTCGAATATTTTACATAACACCTAACTAAAAGCAAATATATATGACTCCAATAAAAATGAAACAAATGGCCGAGGGTTCACCTCTTGACTTGGTCTTTTAGTATATGGTTGATAATTTAGCGCACCAACACTATGAATACATGCAATATTATAAATATTCATAATTAATTGAGCATTTATGTTATACGCCATGAAACTTTGATGAATATGGAACATCATACATCTTGAATAGTTAATAGAAAATATCAAAGTGTAAATTAGATTTACATCTATAAATGTGTGTGACACTTCTCAAGGCTATCATTCTATTGCTCTTCTCGATTTAGATGTAATCTGTTGGGCCCTTTTTGACTATGTTGGCAGTTTCATCGTTCGTTCGATAATTGAATAAGAGGTTGTGGTGTCTTGCGCCCTTTCACTCAAAAAAAAAAAAATTTACAATCCGTATAAACATTATGATCCTATATGTTCATGAAACGTTCAATGTATGGTAGATCTTACCAATAATAACACTATAGATACACTTACATTTGCATGCCCATATATATAACATAATCTTTTTACTTGTATTAATTTTAAATAATTTAACGATTAATTGATAATTCAGTGAAAGTAACTAAACTTTAATTTGATTTGATTCGCAATATCAAATCACATTTGCTGAATTATCCCTTTAAAATTTGCCCCAAATTGCAAACAAATAAACTGCAAACAAAATCATCACACACCCAAAAAGATTGTGAAAGAAAGAAAAATGGAGTGTGATACTGATACATGAGCAATAAGGTAGGATTATTAAACCTTAGTTGATAAGCAGAATTTCAATTTAGGCAAAGAATTAGATAGTTTTAGTGATGACGGTTAGGAATGAGAAGATGAAAATGTTGACGGTTGGAGGGAAGGGATTTGTAGCCGAGTAAGAATGGGCGGGTTGGATGTATTGGGAAGATATGGGGAGGGAATCCGAGGAGACAACTGTCGTGGGATGGAGTGGCTGACAACATGAAGGAACGGCTAGGACGGCTGGTGAATTGAATGAGAAGATGAAGATGACGATAGTTGTGATCTGCCACCGAAGAAGAATGGTCAGGTAGAGTAGAACTTACCGGGGAAGAGATCGGACAGGAGGAGCATCTAAGGGGACGATGGCGGCGGGATCGAGTATTGGATGCGTAGAGAAGAAGAAGAACGGCAGGGACGGAAGGGAGAAGAAGGGGTTACGCGCATTGGTTTCTTTATTTTTCTTTTTTTACCCTCTGAGGTGTTAATTAGGCGGGTTGTAATTGGAGGAAAGCAGGTGATGACGTGGCTGCGTGAGAGGAAGGAGAATTTGAATCTGTGAAGGGGTTAATGAGAAACCTCTTATAATATTCTTTAGATTAGAGAATTGGGCTTAGCCCAGTTCTTTGAACCCAAACTGTTTTCTTCCTTATTCCTGTTATTCTGAGTAACTTGAATGGGCTCAATGTCCAACCTCTTCGATTCGTCCTCTTACCATTCCAAATCGGGCCCTCTTTTCTTACCCAAATTTGTTTGGTTCTGACCCTTTCTGTACCAACGTTCCTAGATTTGAACGTTACGCCTTTACTTCCTTCCCCGGTAGACGGAACGTCCTGCATAGAAAGAGATGCCATACCCACGTCGCTACTTTCTGCATGCGTGATAAACTTTCTTGAATTTTCAGTCGGCGTAGTGTCCACCGAGGAAAAACGCTCCGACTTCCCGTTCGCCCGATCTCGCCTGATTCGCTGACTCGCCGCCGGCTGTTCCACGATTTTTATGTAATAAGATTGAGAACCAAAACGTAGCTCAACGTTCTCCAGAATAGGATGTGATTTATGAATTCTTATCCTGACGAACGGAAGACACCAATAATTCCAATCAATTTCCTTGAACGATCCACAAAAATCCCCGATGTTTTCAGAAGATCCACACTCTTAATATTCAGCGGAATGTTGAATGCAGAGATCCAAGAATCCTCTGGAGAACTAAAACCTTCACTCTCATTCCACGCGGAAATATGAATCATATCTCCTTTGAACTTCAGGTGGTTAAGTTTCTGGATCCGAATTGCTTCCTTCATGCTTGGACAAATCAAGAACCAACTTCCATCTGATGTATCCTCAATGACAAAGTTTGGTGGATAGCACAGTTCTTTATCGCCCACTGTTTGAAGCTAGCGATGCTGTCCGCCCTGAAGGCTTTCGAGACAAGTACAAGGCATCTTCCCAACAAATCTCTTCCCTCAAACACGCCATCAGTTCCTATGTCGATGAACTTCTGATTACCTCTTCCAATGATTTTGCACGATCCTGCTCCATAAAACCCAGTACCTTTAATTGCTTCGGCGTACGTAAGACTTGCTGCAAAGTTTCAAACTTCGGTCCCCGGAAGATGAAGCCAACGGATTGAGCCACCGCTCTTGATAGAGGAATTCTCGAGAGAAGCTCGTAAGTGTAAAAATCCTGAAGTAATCTTGTTAACGGCGCCCATCCGCCTCCTGTTGCAGGGATATTAATTTTGAAGTATCTGTTCCTCCTGGATTGCTCTGAAATCTGTAAAAACATTCCCCGACGGTTACTTCCTCTACCAATATGGATAGATCACGAACCGCTTTTCTTAATGCAAGACTTTGGGAATAACCACTCCTTCATTTCCGCTGTCTGTAAACATCCGTGGAGCCAAGAGATGAGCTCGTTATTGAGCACCACGAACCATTTCTTGCTTCCTTCCCCCGTCTGAAGTCTATACTGCATCTGCCTGAATCTCCATTCTTTGCATACTGACACGACCTTTGATCCCAAGAGAACCTGACGTCTGCACTCCCCTCTCGCTTCGCCGCCGCCGATGGACAACTCCTCCGCTTCAGACCTGCAAAAAGAATAAGCATCCCTCCCCCGATACTTTTCCCACTCCGTATCTCTCTCCCTAACAATGGTCGATTCTCTGGATCTCAGACCCCTTGACTCTTCCGCTCCCAACACAGAGAACATTTGGTCCGCTTAAACGCCCTCTTCTTGCTGCAGCTTATTGTAACCACTGGTCCTCTATTCTTCTGCGAAGCCGTGGCAATACAATGGCGCCGTCCCCTTAACACCAGATGTGCAATTGAAACCCTAACTTAACTTTCTCATTGATAATTGTGTTTCTTATATACAGGGATCGATCAATAGAAGACAAACAGCTCTTGGCTGTGTTTACAGACTGTGAAAACAGAGGATGCAGAGCTTGGAGGGAAGAGAAAACAAAAGGGTGAAAGAGACGTTGGAGTGCTACGACGACGTTCTGCTGAGGATGTTCTCCATTGTGCGAGACGGCGCCGTTGCAGTTGAAGAACAGGAGGCCTTTCCCGAGACGACGTCGCTCCATCGAATTGGCTTAGTAGCCGTTGCGATTTGGGGCGAAAATTTGACATTTTCGTCTGATAACCCCCCCCCCCCCCCCCGGGGCAAGCTGGTGGGCACAGATTGTGCACACCAAGCTTGGAGAGGAGACTGGAGAAGATTTCTGGTGGGAGCGGCTTTGTGAACAGATCTGCAAGTTGGTGAAGGCTTGAAACATGGAGGAGCTTGACAATCCCAGTCTGCAATTTCTCCCTGACCAGGTGACAGTCTAACTCGATGTGCTTGGTTCTTTCGTGGAATGTGGGGTTTTCAGCGATGTGGATCGCGGACTGATTGTCACAATAGATGATTGCAGGTTGAGAATGGGGCACCTGGAAGTCTTGGAGAAGGTATAGAAGCCATTGGAGCTGACATGTTGTATCAGCCATGGCTCTATATTCTGCCTAGGGGTGGTAAACGATAATCCGGTAAACGGTTTACCGTTTTACCGAACCGGTAATCGACGGTAAACGGTAAACCGTTTACCGGCGGTATCGGTAGCCGAGCGGGAAGTTGGGGGAGTCGGTTTACCGGACACGGTATCGGTAAATACCGACGGTAAATCGGTATTACCGATACCGAATCCCCCCTCCCTACTCCCTAGTGTTGCGCTGCGTTTTGTTGCTTTACCCCCAAAAATATATAATATTACATACATGAATGTAAGTATAGGCCTCAAAAATATTGTAAATAAGAGTTCATAATAAATTATTAATTATAAAAATGATGAAAAAAACTCAAAATATTACAACATCACCCCACTTCCAGAAATTCGGTTCGGTAAACCGACAGAAAAACCGCCCAAAATCGTTTCTCACTGTATTTCGGTAATACCGGTTTGTAACCGTTTACCGGTAATTCGGTAATCGGTAAATCGGTTACAAATCGGTATCGGTAATCGGTAACCAGTTTGGCCAACTTCGGTATACCGAAACCGGTAAATTCGGTAAACGGTAAATTGTTTACCGACCAAATCCCACCCCTAATTCTGCCTCACATGAGGATCTTGAGATGGTTCGCTGTTTCTTACTTTTCCAGGAGATGAGTGCATTGCCCAAGTAAACACAATATCCAGTTACTGATCTTCTAGTGTCCATACAAGATGCCCAGTCTGAGTCACTGAATGATTTGAGTTGGTGTGAGGAAGAAGTAGGGAAGAATAAACCAGTAGAGGGTGTTGATTTGAGGTATCGAAGAACCCTTGTGACTGCTTGAAAGTGTTGATTGCTTTGATTGGATATATACTGGCTGAGCTATTGGGTGGCAAAGCTAATGTCTGGTCTTGTTGTGGTTAAGTATATTAGCTTGCCAACGAGCCTTCTTTAGAAAGAGGGATCAGGGTATGCATCTGAATGTGTTGCTGTGAGGTGGATTTTGTGGTCCATAGGGGTAGAAACAGGTCTGGATAGTAGCACCTCCCCTTCTTCTAGGATTTCCAGAGTATATTTCCTTTGAGATAAATGAATGCCAGATGAATTTCTGGAAACTTCAATGCCAAGAAAGAACTTGAGAGGACCTAGGTCTTTAATGCTGAATGTCTGATGAAGGTGTTGCTTCAGCTTTGAGATTTCAGCTAGATCAGTACCTCCCACAACCAGATCATCTACATAGACTAGGACACATGTATAATCAGAGCCTTGAGATTTGAAGAATAGAGAATGATCAACCTGGCTAGATGTATAACCCTGAGTAATGAGGCAGTCAGCTAATGTGGAGAACCACTGTCTTGAACCCTGTTTCGGACCATATATAGACCTTTTGAGTCTGCAAACAGGGTTCTTAATATGAGGTGGTGGTTTGTATCCTTTAGGCAGTTTCATGTAGACTTATTCAGTGAGATCCTCATGTAAGAAAGCATTGTCGACATCTAATTGATGTACATGCCATGACCTTGATGCTGCTATAGCCAGAAACAATCTAACTGTGGTCATCTTAACCACAGGGGCAAATGTATACTGATAATCAATGCCCTCTTGTTGGTTGTAGCCTTTTGCAACGAACCTTGCCTTTTCTCTTTCCAGGGTGCCATCAGAGAGGAACTTATACTTGAAGATCCACTTATTGCCAAGTGGTTTCCTGTCTGGAGGTAAAGAAACAACATCCCAGGTCTGATTCATTTCAAGAGCATCAATTTCATGATTGATTGCTTGGTTCCATTCTGGTCTGAGGGCAGCTTCCTCATATGATTCAGGTTCTTTGTGACTAGAGATGTTCAAGATGAATTTGAGATGGGATGGTGATAAACCAGTGTAATCAATGACATCAGATAAGGGATAGGTGATACCTGGAGCATGTTGCTTGAAAGAGTGACTGGAGGAAGAAGCCTGCTGAAGTAGGTTGCAATGGTAAGTTTGAAGTTTGGTAGGTGGTTTGATGGTTCTGGTTGGTTTTCTAATGGCTATAGGTAGATCTATGGAAGGTGGGGTAGGAGAAGGAGGTGTTGGGGAAGTTGGAGATTGGTCTAGTTCTTGTAAAGGGGGGGGGGGGGGGGAATTGGGGTGTTCATCTGGGATGGGGGCAGGTGGAATGGGATAGGTATGAGTGGGAGGAGAGGAAATAGTCTCTGAGGAATCAGTTGTGGTTTGGTGAAAAGGGAATACTAGACAGAAAGATGTCATGAGAGTTCAAATCATAGATTTTATAACCGTTTACACCAGGGGTGTAGCCTAGGAAAACTCCTTTCCTGGCTCTCTCTTGGAACTTGGTTCTGTGGCTGGTGATGGTGCTTGCATAACACAAGCAGCCAAAGACTTTTAAGTCTTGTAGATCAGGTGGTTTGGTATGGAGCCTTTGGTAGGGTATGAGATTGTTTAGGACTGGGGTGGGGACTTTGTTGATTAGATATACAACATGTTTGACACAATCTCCCCTGAAACCAATAGGTAGGTTAGCTTGGAATTTTAAAGCTCTTGCCACTGCTAAAATGTGTTGGTGCTTTCGTTCTACTTTACTGTTTTGTTGTGGGGGTCTCAATGCATGACATCTCATGGAGAATGCCATGTTCAGTAAAGTAATCAGTCATATGGAATTCCCTTCCTTGGTCAATCCTAATTGTTTTAACATGTGAGTTGAATTGTTTGGTTATCATGGTGCAGAATTGGATCAGTTTGGGACGAGCATCAGCTTTGGAAGAAAGAAGGATGATCCAAGTCATCCTGGAGAAGTCATCAACAATGGTAAGGAAATATTTGAAACCATCATAAGTAGGAAAGGAATTGGGACCCCAGATATCAACATGGATTAAATGAAAACATTGTTCTGTGACAGTGGAACTGGAAGGAAAAGGAAGCATTTTCTGTTTGGCAAAATGGCATACATCACAAGGTAAGCTGCTAATGGTTTCAATGGATGTACAGAGTTGTTTGAGTTGGGGAATTCTACTGTGAGAAACATGGCCAAGTCGAAAGTGCCATATATCAAAAGGTGGGGAACCAGCAGCTGTTGTGATGTGGTTAGGTATACTAGCTAAGGGTAGTTTGATGTGGTAAAGGCCATGGAGGAGGTTAGCATAACCAATCACTCTCTTCAGCTTCATGTCCTGTATGGTGCAAGAATAAGAAGAAAAGGTTAAGCAAAGGGGGCTAGTTGTGGTGAGTTTTCTTATTGAGAGAAGATTGAATGTGAATTTAGGAACAAACAGGACATCCTCAAGGGTAATCCCATTATGACAAAGGACTGTGCCTTTGTGTGTAGCCTGAACTCTATCACCAGTGGGGAGGTTAATATAGATGTGATCCACCTTGTGAGGATCATGGAGAAATGAATAAGAACTGACTATATGGTCAGTAGCACCAGTGTCAAGGATCCATGGTATAGGAGAAGTGCTATGTTGAAGACTGTAGCAAGAATGGTTACCTGAAGTGCCAGGGCCATGGTGAATGGTAAGTGCTGCAGAATGAGTAGTGGAGGTAGATTTTTCCTTGGAATGATCATGCATTAGAGAAATGAGTTTCTCATACTAAGATTTAGTGAGTTTGAACTCTTGAGGAGTATCTGAGGAAGAACTGCTATCAGCAGCATTGATGAAGGATCTGCCTCGAGTGGAGGGAGTTGATCTTGGTTGAGAGCTGGGAGGATAGCCATGCTTTTTGAAGCATTTGTCTTCAGTGTGACCTAGTCTTCTGCAGAATGTGCATTCTGGTGGTTTGGCAGAGGGGTTTGGGGTCACATTAGAACCTCTAGGTGTGAGACCTGGGGGCCAGCCATGTTTGTGATAGCATGTGTCCTCGATGTGACCAGGAGCATTGCAAAAAATGCAGTGAGGGCGTTTGCCAGAGGTGTAAGGGCGTTTAGTGCCTTGAATAGGAAAGGCAGTGGGATGTGAGGTAATCATTCTGCCTTGTTGAGTACCAAAAAGTTGTCTTTCATGCTGGAGGGCTCTCTGGAAAACACAATCTATAGGTGGGAGGGCATCCCCAAACAGGACTTGCGATCTGACTAAGGCAAAATTATCATTTAAGCCCCTAAGAAACTGGATGACAAAATTGGTTTCCTTGTATCCTACCACAGCATTCATAGCAGGACAGGTATGAGGACTAGTGGGAGTACAACGACATGGATCTATGGGTTGATAGTTGTCCAGTTCATCATGTAAAGCTATCAGATTCCCATAGTATTCTGTAACAGTTTGGTTACCTTGCTTAATGGTACCAATAGACTCGATTAACTCTGCAACTCGAATCATATCACCTTGACCATACCTAGATTTGAGGCTGAGCCAGGCTTCAGAAGCGAGCTTGCAAGACATGATGGTCTTCTTGATGCCAGGTTCTACAGTTTGTTGGATCCAGCTGAGTACCATGACATTGTTTCTTGTCCAAGAGGAGAACTGAGCATCTGTGGCTGCAGGGGCAACAATGGTGCCATTGACGAAGCCAAGCTTTTTCTTTGCGGCTAAGGCGTTCAGCATCGCCTTACTCCAGTCATTGTAGTTGGTGCTGGTCAGCTTCTCACCTACCAACAACAATCCTGGTTGATCGGAACCATGGAGATAGAAGGGATCCTCGAGAGGATCCATGTTTTGTGGGTGAGTAGCCATTTGAGGAGGCGGCGGCTAGGGTTGCTCTGATACCATAACACCAGATGTGCAATTGAAACCCTAACTTAACTTTCTCATTGATGATTGTGTTTCTTATATACAGGGATCGATCAATAGAAGACAAACAGCTCTTGGCTGTGTTTACAGACTGTGAAAACAGAGGATGCAGAGTTTGGAGGGAAGAGAAAACAAAAGGGTGAAAGAGACGTTGGAGTGCTACTACGACGTTCTACTGAGGATGTTCTCCATTGTGCGAGACGGCGCTGTTGCAGTTGAAGAACATGAGGCCTTTCCCGAGACGACGTCGCTCCACCGAATTGGCTTAGTAGCCGTTGCGATTTGGGGCGAAAATTTGACATTTTCGTTGATACCCCTGAAAATGGAATAGTTGGTAGTAGAAGAAATTCTTCATCAGCTGTCTTCGTATTTGGGGACTCGATTCTTGATACCGGCAACAATGACCATATCGCAACTTTGATCAAGTCCAACTTTCCGGGAAGAATCCCCACCGGTAGATTCTCCGATGGAAGGCTCATTTTGGACTTCATAGGTACTTATAATTTGATTTTTGGACTTTACATACAAATATATCGTTTCTGCAGGGCTATAGCTAAGTAACTAATTAATTGTTAATAATCTGTGTATTTAATTTGTGCAGTTGAAAATTTGGGAATAAAGCATTTTTTGCCACCTTATCTCGATCCGAGTCTTCAAGCTGAGGATCTCACAACGGGAGTGTGTTTTGCTTCTGCTGGCTCTGGCTAATGGCTATGACCCCAAGACACTAAAGATATTAGTAATGATTTTCCTTACTTCATGTTAACCCTAGGAGAAAAGTGGCTTTTTGCAACAACAAAAAAAGTATATTTTTATATGTTATTTCTAACCATGAGTTACGTTGTTTGAAATATGTATATCAGTCGGTTCTATCTGTTCCGGACCAACTCAATCTCTTCCGACAGTACGTGGGGAAGTTGAGAAGCCCAGTGGGAGAGCAGAGATCAAACGACGTCGTTAGAAATGGCCTTTACGTAATATCAGCGGGCAACAACGACGTCTTACAGACCTCTTTGTTTCATACCAGAACAAAGTCGTCGGAAATGGTTTCATACGCTGCCTTTCTCGCCGGCCAAGCTTCCGCCTTTCTCCGCAAATGTACGGACATATCGTTCACCTGAGCGCATTAACTATGGGATGTATCCTTCCCCGCCTTCAGAACTTTGCTCGGCGGAGTACAGAGTCAATTTCCGATGAGTGCAACGAGCTGGCCGTGATGTTCAACGAGAAGCTTAGCCACGAAATTCAGCTACTGAACGATGACGTTTTGCTTCCTGACTTGAGCGTCCAGTTTGTTGACGTGTACACGCCTTTTTTCGATATCATTATGCGTCCTGAAAATTATGGTAATTAAGTTAGTTAAGTTAATTTTCTGCTTAATCACGTTCGTTAGGATGCATGGTTTAAGAGAGTGTACTATAATCTATAAAATTGCAGGGTTTGCCGTAACGAAGGAGGGGTGCAATGAAAAATGGAGTCATCGTATATTTGTATATTTGTATGTAGAAATGACATGCTTATTATTTGGTACAATAAAAAATAAGTGAATTTTACTAAAATTTATTGTCATCTAAACTCTCCATGTAGGACATGGAGGAGATGAGACATATGTATTCTGAGTATTAAATCAAGTGATACGATGAAGAAGTTGTCTTGTCTCTATTACACCACACCCAGTGGCGGAGCCACTTGTAGAGGAGTTGGAGAATTTTTTTTCGAGTAGGGGTATATACAAATTCGAACCAATGACCATTCAGTTGCAGGAAGAATTTCTTATCATTTCGATTGAGTGAGTTTTGTTATGCAATGCACTTTTGTTTAAACAAAGTTGAAAGTGAAGAAGTACCAATTGAAGTTCACTTGTTTGTTTCACAAAATCAATTTCAAGGTACTTCTGAGTTCTAATTTGTAATATTTGATGAATGGAAGTCTTGATTTGTATGTACTGAACTTATTTGTTTGACGTTGTAACCGGTGTACGTGAAACTATTTTAATGTAATTGTATGAATTTAGAGTATTGCGTTGTTCACTTTTTGTTTAATTTAAAGTTGTCTTTTCTATTGTATAGGTAATTTTTTATGATATGATAAAGACACCTCCTTGGCCAATTTTCTGGCTCCGCCACTGACCACACCAAGAAGGTGCTTGCTCAATTCTATAGTGAAAATTGGCGTGAGTTCAAAGACTCCAATGAATCCAAGTATGGGAGTTATGGTCAATACTAATCAACCAGTTTTACAACTGGAATATTCGAAGTTAATTGGGTGCTTGATAGTAAGCATTGACTTGCATATATAAGACCATATATGCGGTAGGAAAATTAAGTCGATGCATGAGTGATCGTAGTACTCATTATTGACATGAATTAAAGCGTGTACTAGAATATGAGTGATCCTAGTACTCATAATCAGTATTGGTTTTCGTGTATTGGTATTATTTTTCTTGTACTGGTACTAGCTAGTGATGGCAGAGCTATGGTATGAGTATTGGCTCTCATGTATCGGAAATGGTTTTCATATTTTGGTATTGGTTTCATGTTTTGGTCCTGATTTTTTTGGCGGTTGAAAGAACCTTAGATGGAAACTAGATTGTACCCCACGCCATTGGTCGATTGCAATATGATAATCGCAATTAACAAAACTTCAAAATTTAAACCTCAGTAGTATCCTCTTCTCTTATATGTGTTCCATGCTTATATGTTAGTGTCATGCGAATTAACAAATAATGATATCAATTTTATAAAATAGCAAGATAGTTTTTACTTTTTACCATCAAGAAAGTCTAATTTTTCAATTGCTTGGAAAATATAAGATGAGCATCCATAAAAAAGATTACTAACATTGCAATCTCTCTCTTTTTTTATTATAAACATGATCAAAATAAAATAATTTGAGGTGCATTTATAAATTTCAACTTATAATATGAAATAATAAATTTAATGGGATAATAATGTTACCATGAGTGAACTTCAACCTCTTGAGGAATATCAAGATTAGATAAAAGGTAGCTTTAATTTAAAAGAATAATTTTCAACCGCAAAATGGCCAATCATCAATAGATGAATATTAACAACTGAAGTACACAACTAAAAAGGTAAGAAATGCTTACGTATCTTGATGTTCAGAGACAGATGATGAAATGGCTAATATGAACATAGCATCACTCGGGTCCAAGGGGTTTGCGACGTCAGCCATGACTTTGAGGGGGTACGTAGGCGCCCCGCCTCGTCAGAAGTAGAAAAAGAGAAGAAGTATATAGAGAGAGAAAATAGAGAGAAGTTAGAGTAAGAGTAGATAGATTGCCATTTATGAGGAGAGAACTCTTATTTATACACTTTTGAGGGTTAGGTAGTGGTCTGGGCGCCTGCCAAGCCATAAATGCTGTGGTCGGGCGCCTCAGACCTTCTGACACTGTACATGGTACTTTTTGACAGAGGGTGTCCCCCTGCCTCTTGTCCTTGCTGATGTCAGGTGCTTGGCCTTGTCTCTTGTCTCCCAGCCTTGTCTTTTAGCTCTTGTCTTCTTTTCTTCTTTATGCCATTATCTATGGTTTTGCCTTGGGGATTACTAATATACCCTATCAAAAACCATGATTATCGTATTTAAATACAACGCTAGCTAGGGATTACATTTTTTACATGCCCGTTTTACCCGACCTGTTAGCCCTGTTTTGGGCCGGGTCCGACCCGCTCTGCAGGCAGGGCAGGGCGGGCATGGAAACTATCCTTGACTTGGCCTGACCCACCCTATTTTCGACCAACATTTGCCTAAGTTACATGTAATTTTACTCAAATTACTTACAATTGTTTTACTTTTATTACCTCATGTTGTAGCTATAATTAAGTTGTAAGAAGGTGAGGACCTCAAGTTTTTGAATAATTTAATTACATTTATCATATTTTAGTTTGTGTCTTGGTTTTTAATGACAAAATGAGTATTTCTAATGTTTTCTTTTTAAATTATATACCCATTTGGGTCGTGCTGCCTCGACCTGTACCATGTGATAAAATTAACTGACCTGTCATGGGGCGAGTGTGGGTATCGAGATACCCACCTCTATGCCATTCCTAACGCTAGCCAATGGGGGATTATGAGAATTATATTTTTGTAGTAGGAGGATTATGGGATTATTAAGACAATGCAAGCCAGTGGGCTGCGAAAAAGAAAACAAAAAGTCCAAGAAAATGAGAAGACAATGCCAACTAGTCGATCGAGAATTGAGATGCGAAAAGACTCGGAAGGTCGTCCTTGCTTTGTGGGGAGGCCAGGAAATAATTAATTGAGAAAGCATAGAGATGGAGGTGCATGGCCAAAGGAATGCAACAAGGCTGGGAGAGAAATAGAGCAAAGGGCTTAGTTTTTAAATTTTACCTTTTCAATATAAAAACGTAACTAATACAAATATAAGATAATAAGGGATTTACTTTTCTTAATTTTCTTTGATCAAGGTGACATCACTTTTATTAAAAGGAAAGAAGGACAAAGTGCATATGTTCAGAATCACCCAGCCTTTCTTCTTTAAGTTATCTCGTGTCAGAATCTTCAAGTGTTAAGCCGTCCATACGAAGAAGCAGATCTTCAGGGGACCTTCTTCTGCCATATTGCTTTTATGAGGAAAAACAAGGACACCTAAGTAGATATCAGCAATACAAGCCTCGTACATTGATTTCACCGAGAACCCTTTGGAGGGATGAGGCTTCCATATCAGTATGGCAAGACCTGCAAATAGCAAAGAAACAGATATGGACTCTAGAAGATTCATCGTCCTAACTCTCTCTCTCTCTCACCCCCACCCCTAAGAGAAAATTTAAGCTCAATATCCTAGGAAACACTGTCTTGCTTGACCTGCAGATTTTCCATGACACTATTGCTGTATGTAAACGCAGTTGTAGTATAGAAAGCCCATATCGTAGCCCATGGCGTAGTTTAGCCCATGCAGCCCATACGAGCGAGGAGCGACGTGAGGAAACCTAGCTCTAGGGTTCGGCCATATTTATGGACGTGTACAGTAGACCTTGTTCACTATCTGTTTTCGAAAACTCTCATCAGTAACATCAGTAGTTGTAGAGCTTTCAGGCTCTACCGTGGATTAGTCCTGGGGTTTCCAGGGATACCACGTAAACCGATTTTCTTCGTCGTTGCTTAATTCCATCATTGTTGATCTGTCATCATGGTATCAGAGCCGTCACAAACCGAATCCGATAGGCCATCTGTACGTCTTACCTCTGTCAACTATGCCCAATGGGAATTCCAATTCCAGGTCTTCATTGAAGGACGGGTCATGCTTGGAATTCTCGACGGGACTGAATCGAAGCCCGCTGCCGTGAATGC